ACATTTTTCCAAAGAAGACATAAAAATGGTCAACAGGTACACGAAAAGGTGCTCAACATCACTAACCATTAAGGAAATGCAAATCAAAACCACAATGAGATATCACCTCACACTTGTTGGGATATCTATTATCTAAAGACAAGAGATAAGAAACGTCAGTAAGGATGTGGAAGAAAGAAAACTCTTATACAATGTTGGTAGGAATAGGTACAGCCATTTTGGAAAACAGAATGGAGGTTTCTCAAGAAATTAAAAATAGTACTACCATATGATCCAGCAATCTCACTTCTGAGTATATATCCAAATGAAACAAATTCTCGAAGAGATATCTGTACTCCTATGTTCACTGCAGCATTATTCACAGTAGCCAAGGTATGGAAACAAACTAAATGTCCACTGATGTATGAATTGAGAACAAAAATGTGGCGCATATATATATATATATATATATATATATATAATGGAATATTATTCAGCTTTGAAAAAAAGGAAATCCTGCCATTTGTGACAACATGGATGAACCTGGAGGACACTATGCTAAGTGAAATAAGCCAGAGAAAGAGACAAATACTACATGTTATCACTTACATGTGGAATCTAAAAAAAAAAAAAAAAATTCAAACAGAAACAGAGAGTAGAATGGTGGTTGCCAGGGGCTGGGTGGGGGGGGGATAAAATAGGGAGAGTCTGGTAAAAGGTACAAATTTTCAGTTATAAGATGAATAAAGTGTGAGGATCTAATGTAAAACATGGTGACTACAACTGATAATACTGTATTGTATAATCGAAATTCGCTAAAAGAATAGAACTTAAGTATTCTCACCAAAAAAAAAATGTAAATAGGTGATGGATGTGTTATTTAACTCAACGGTGGGAATTCTTTCACTGTGTATTCATTTATTAAATCACCACATTGTACACTTTCAATATATTACAATTTGTCAGTTATACCTTAATAAAAAGGTACCTGAAAAAAAGTGGACAACCCACATACACCTTTCCCAAAACTTAACTCAAAATGGATCATAAACCTACATGTAAAATGCAAAACTATAAAACTCCTAGAAGATGACATAGGAGAAAACCTAGAGGACCTTGGGTATGGCTATGAGTTTTCAAATACAGTGCCAAAGGCATGATCCATGAAAGAAATAATGGATAAGCTAAACTTCATTAAAATTAAAAACTTTTGCTCTGTGAAAAACAATGTCAAGAGAATGCAAAGATAAGCCACTGACTGGGAGGAAATCTTTGCAAAAGAGGTCCTGGTTCAAGATGGCAATGTAGGCGGATTCTGAACTCAACTCCTCCCATGGACACACCCAATCTACAGCTACGTATGTAACAATTTCCTCTGAAAGAAACCCAGAAACTAGCTGAGTGACTCCTACACATCGGGTGAACAAGAAAAAACCCACATCAAAATGGGTACGAGAGGCTGAGATACAATCTTGCCATAAACCCCACCCCCAGTGTGACAAACCACCATCAGGAGGGAACTTACAACTTTGAACTTCTCCATGAAAAGCAATGAATTTGAATCCCACATCTGGCACCCCAACTTTTAAGACCTTCGCCTTAGAGATGAGCCCCCAAAACACTCAGCTTTTGTCAACGAATAAAAGGCATAAACTTCAAGAGAAGCAAAAAATTTATTTGGGGTCTCAGAATTGCAGTTCAGGGAGCACAGATTCAGACAGAAACCCAAATAGTGTCCTGCCAGGGAGTAAAAGTCAGGAGCTTCTAAAGGCAAAGAAGGGAGGTTGTATAACAAAGAATTTTAACTGGAGTTGAAGGCAGAGAGCTAGTCTTGGCTAAACAGTGATTTATCTAAACATTGATTCTATCTTCAGAAAGCCCATAATCCTCAGTCTTTGATCAGGATGTCCATTCTCCTGCTGACTTCTCAAACAATTGCTTGTAAAACAATTGCAATTTTGGCCCAGTCCAAAGTTCAAGACAGCAAAGCAGTTTCTCTGGAAAAGCAACTCCAACTCCATTTTAAAATGCCTCCACTATAATCAATTTTGACATTTTCCCCTTTTGATCGAGATCTTTCTTTGAAAGCATCGCTGATGAACCATTTGAAAGCACTGCTGTTCGACTATTGGAAAGCATTGCTGATCAGCCATCAAAGCATCGTTGATCCCTCGTTGCCAGGGAGGTGCATTCTCAGTATGTCATGTCCCACATAAGAGAAAATGGTTTCCTGAGGAGCCTTAGGCCACATTTGAGCAACAAGACTGCCAGAGCAGAGAAAAGCCTTACTGTCAAGTTCCTTTACGAATAAACATTGTAGTTCCTCAAAGTTTCTCAGGTGAAGGCTCATAAGCCTTAGTAATCATTTCAAAGTGCTGAGTGACCATTATCTGAGTGGTGTTTTTATAACATCGAGCTATACATAAGAGACAAAGTTTTACAACAGTGAGAATTCCTATAATAATAAACAAAACGCTAAGTCCAAATTGGAGAATAGGTCTGAACCAGGAGGCAATTCATGAGGGTAGCCAGCTAAAGAGATCAAAGAACTATGAAATGTCAGTGGGCACTGCATTTAACCATTAGGCCTGTGCTCAGATTTGATCTAGTTCATGTTTTACTTTACCAGAGGTGTTTACCCAAGTACAACAAGAGGTGTTTATCACAAAACAAACCCCATTTTGTTCAGCTAGGAGGTAATCAAGAGCAATTCTATTGTCTAATATAAGTCGTGCAAGGGTATCCAAAGATTTATCTTTGGCAGTTATTGCTTTAGTGGCAGATTTAGCAATATTCTCCAGGGTTTTAGATAAATTTCTGATCATATATTCATTCATGGCAGTGTCTACCCAAGGAAAAAGTGTTTTTCCAAAAATGGGGTTGATACCACCAGGCATTAAACACTCTTGACTATGCATGCAACTAGTTTCACATTTTAGTCTGTGAAGTAGATTCAAAGGTGATGCCCTATGCCAAGCTTCTGATTGATCATATAACAAAATAGGTGTAACCAATAATCCAATTGCATAATGACCTTTAGTTTGATAGGGATTTAAATAGTGTGTTCCCCATAGGTCTTTCTGCCAAGTACAAGTGAAAATAAACCCTAAGGGAGCACAAATCATGGAGTCATTATAATGAGATTGACTAAATCAAAGATTTGATCGGTTACGAAAGGAGTTCTAGACACTTAGCACAAGGAATTAGGAAAGTAATGGCAGAGAGATTGGTAATTAAATGTACTAAAGGATCTCTAGATTCACGTATAGGATGAGGCTTCTGATGACAAATCCAATAGTCAGAAAGATTTCCCCCATTTGTAATAGATTGGGAGATGCAGATAACAGTATTGTCTTTCCAAGAAAGAGAGGGAGAAAAGAAAGGTAAGAAGCAAGAGCAAGTAAAAGGTATACAGGCCCGGTCTGACCATCTGGGGGAAAGCTGTCTGTCTCAGATGTCAGTTGCTTCTCTTCCTAGTCAATTTGATTTGGAGGTCTCCAACCTCCATACAGGACCAAACGTCAGGTGGAGCCTTCTTTAGCTGTGAGAGGTATCTCCAAGGTTAAACGCATTCTAGTTCTGCAGCAGCATCAGTGGTTAGGAGCACTTGGTAAGGTAATTTCCAATGAGGTTGGAGGGCTGTCTTCCCCTGATGATGCTTCCAGAATACCCAGTCACCAGGCTCTAGACTGTGATCAGCAGGATCTTTTAAATTGGAATCCAAGAAAGCTTCCCTAACCTGTTATGATAGGCTTGAGTATCAGACATTAGAGACTTACAGTAGCTGTCATACTAGTGTAAGACTAGAATCTAATATCTACAAAGGTGTGAATGTAATTTTTCTCTCTACAATTACCCTCAAAAATTTTTTTTCCCAGAAGATAATTGCAGTAAAGGTAATTTGTTTATATTAAAAACTTGGCCTGATTAAATGAAAATAAGAGCACTCACTGAGAGTTTCTGAGTTCTGGAGGAATCAAGGAGGGAGAAAAAGTAAATGTTTCATCTTTATTCACAAAGGTATAATTTACCAAATTATTGATAGCTTAAGAGGAAAGATTTCTTTAAATCTTGAAAAACAAAATATTAGAGCATCCTCCTCAGTTCATGCAGTCCCATGGAATTCATATTTGTTCTTGACCTTTTGTTAGCAGTTTTATGAAGCCATCAGCCTCTCCATTAGAATTCTGTAATTTCTTACCCAGTTCAGTATTATGATCTGAAATTTTATCAGAATCCTATATTCTAGAGTGTCAGAGTCCTTTCCATGGATCTCTCTGAAGAGGAAACATATTTGCAAAAGCATCAGAGTAAAATAATAACTATCTTTAAATGACAAAAGACTTAAAGTGGCATGATTAAAGATCTCATTACAATGCAATTGACAAGAAAAATTGGTAATTTCTGTGACATATAACATTTTAAGGTAATAGCTAGAATTATGACTGATAACATTATACCAGGACATATAAGAATTTTAGAAATTTTATATAATTTTTATTAATAACATTCACCCACACAATATGACATAAGGTTTATCATTTATTTGACAACGCTTCCCATTCAATTTAACATACCAAATAAGCCTAATTATTTTAATATCTCCCTTTTTATAGGATGAGAGAACAAATTCTTTGAGAAGTCCCAGAGGCCCACTGGAAATTCTCAAAGTAACCTTCAGGTCACAAAAAAAGAAGATTTTATTTAGGATTTGAATTTTGTGAAGTTTGTCAAAAATATCAAAAAATTTTAAAACACTTGGTCAAATAGGATCATAAGTCACTGTGAAACAATGCATAGTTATCCATTTAACCAAAGTGACACTGGAAGATGTTAACAGCAAACATAGAGAGTTAAACAGTTTAAAAAGAAAAAACTTAGCTCTCTTAATAGAGACTTCAGCTTTCTGAACATAGGAAATTATTTTGACAAAACACAGAATTTCTGCCTTTTAGGTAGGTTTACTCAAAGGTAAAGAAAAACATTTCATAATCTCTTTATCAAGAGCAGACTAAAAGTCCAAGAAAACTCCTTTTAAGAGAGAGAAAACAAAACTCTAATTTTGCACCAGCTTGCTTTTGGTATTAAAATTCATTTACTTAATTAAATTCATTTCAATCTTAGCCAACTTGACCATGCACAAAAGTCTTTTCTCAGGGTTCCTCTTCCACAAACCTTCTATAACCTACTTTTTTAGATTCAAGATTTGTCCCATGCCTTCTCTCCTTCCTAGCCTCTCCTTAGGACAAAAATTACTTTCCTCTTTTCCATAACCAGTTGTACTTTAGGAAAAATTTACTTTCTTAACAAAACAAACAAAAATATCTCCATTATTTATACCTTCTTTACTGAAAACATACATCTTATTTTCCTTGTAAGGTTTCCTTTTCTAGATTTAAGGAAATCTTTTCTCTTAAGTTATCAATAATTTGGTAAATTATACCCTTCTGAATAAAGATGAAACATTTACTTTTTCTCCCTCCCTGATTCCTCCAGAACTCAGAAACTCTCAGTGAGTATTCTTATTTTCATTTAATCAGGCCAAGTTTCTAATATAAAGATGTTTCCCTTATTAATTTTTACTAGCTTTGATCACATATATTAATTAGAATCCTTAGCTTTTAGAAACTTTAATTTTTAGTAAAAACTAAGAAGTAAGCAATTATAAACTGTCTTTGACATTACCATTCTGTGGACTGGCAGACTTATAAATATTTTCTAGAAATGTGCTTTCTCATAGAAAATTTCTCAGCATGATACAAAACATGTTCATTAATAAACCCAAATATTCTAAAATTTTTATGTAGTAAGAAGCCAAAAGTAGATAAACCTATACTTAGTAATTAATGTCTAATATTTTATCTTATTAGGAAATGATCAAGATACTCAACAAATTTCTATCATTTAACTTAAGTTAGCAAACCTCTAAGGTTTCAAGTTACCAAAATGATTTTGGAAGCTATTTTTTAAATGCACATACCATAACACATAATTACTGTTAAAAAGTTCACCCCCAAACTTTTTATCTTACTTCCATCTGTTTAGTTTACTTGTTCCCAATAGCTATGTTTAGAGTATCTACAAAGACTTCTTGAGACATTATTAGACAAAGTCAGCCATGAATTTTTTGTTGTTGTCAAGTTTTGTAACAGAGATAACATGAATTTGTTTAACTTTTTGTAAACCTAGGTAGAACAAAAAATTTATATTCAATGCTGATAACTCTAAAGACATGCTTATTTTAATAAACTCAACAAATTTAAATTAGGTTTAACACCCAATAGTTCCCTAGATCACATGATCTTGAAATTCATTTGGGCTAGTTTCTGCTATTTTTTTTTGTTTGTTTTTGGGAGTATATCAATTTATATAGCACTTGTTTTAAGTCAATTAAATGGAGCTCTCTTACAAACAAGTCTTGATAATACCATCTGGAGGTAGAAAAACATTACATATTTATAACATACATATATAGACACATACATAAATATACAGGTAGATACAAAGATCTTATGGCGTCTGTTTTAAAATTTTCCTTAGATTTTTGGGCAAAGATGCTTCCATAGCAGTCTACATCTCCAAAACCTTCTTCTCCACTTTTTTCCCTTCAGTCTTAGGAATTAGAGATGGTCTAGATAACAGCTCCTGGAGAGGTTATAAGCTTTTTGAGATAAACTCGGGAGGTTAGTTGCTTATCAAAGGACAGGCATACCCATCCAACTACATTATCTTTAATTTGTTTCTTTCCCTCTGGGTACAAAGTTTTATTTTAGTTTAGTAGGGGGAAAAGCCTTAAAAAAATCCTATCAGGCTCTATCACCTTCTAATTTGTCAAAATTTCTGATAATAAGTTACCAAATCCTTTCAAATATCTTGTCAGGTTTTAGACAGGACAAACAGTAAATGTTACTGGCAATAATAAACAACTCCATTAATTTTAATTCTAGTTTTCCTTTGGCTGTTTAAGGGAATAACATAGCAGTTTACCAGAAAATCTCTCAGAGTCTCATTAACTCTGGGAGGGGCCCTCCTCAAAAGTAGATACGGGGGTGTTTGTAAAGGCATTAATTTAACGGACTTTTGTATAATCTTTTCTTTTAGGTATCTCTTGTATCTTAATTTTTTATTAGCTTTTTGCAATGAAACTTTCAATAAGGCTATTTTGGAATTTTGAAGACTTCGATTTTCAGTACACTTAAATGATCTTATCTAATTGGAATGTTCCTTCTAATTAACGTTCATCATAATTCCCCTGAGAGCTGGCAGCAGTTTGGTAGGACCCTAGCTGCAAACAGGGTGCGACCAGCATTTCTGACCATGTTCTGGGCCCCCAACCTGAAAGTTACCAAGCCAAGCTCTCAGGACACAAAGCAAGCTTAGTAAGATTTTGCTGTTCTCTATAAATATTTACGGCTTCCAGGACCATAGTTTTTAAGCAGGTGTGCCAGAAGGTGGCACACTTGATTCTTTAGAAATTAAAGATTGCATTCAATTTGTCTGGTCTGCAGTTCTCAAATCTAGTGTGCAAAAAGACAAGTTTTGGAAGCTCAAAAGAGCCCCAAAGTGGCCACTGTAATTTTAAATCATCTTTTGTATTATTGGTCAACCAGGACAAAAATTTACAAGAGGAAGGACCGTCGTTCTTAAATATAAACCCAGCTGGAGTTCCTAAGGGAAGAACTTCTCAGGATCTTTTAGAAGATAAAATTCTCATGTTAACTTACAAAGAGACAGGAGACACCAGTTGCAAGCCCCAGGTTGTTACCTGCACTTCTGACCCACTGCCTACAGCCATTTGGACAAATGACACAAAAGAGAATTTGAGCACTCACCAGATACAGAATGAACACTTAGACAGCAGCAGCCATAGTTGGCTCAGAGAAACCCTTCCAGTCGGCAATAGCTGTGAGCTGCCAAAAGGTGGCCAAACAGGAAAACTCTTGCAGATGGCAAAAGCCGTGAATCAGCTTGGAAACAATTGTCTCCTAGGGTGTTGACATTCTAAAGACATGGTGAAATTTACAACTTCAAAGGATAGAGAGAAAAATGCAAGTTGAGAGAGGTCTGAATTGGCCTCAGTGAGTTTAGAATTAACTACTGAGCAGGTAGTCAGTGCTCTAATCTCAACACTAATTTCATGCATATGTGAAGCTCAGGGATACAAAGGTTAAAGAAACCAATATTTACATATGAATGTAACTAAAGAAGCAAGGAAAGGGAATGGGTGTTTATGGTTTTTAACCCCATATATGCTGGGGTTAATGTAAGGGAACTGATATCAGCACTGGTTTCAATCCACCCTATTCTATGTTCATCCTCAATCTTGAAGAATTTGCGTATCATTCTCATCTAGCTACTTCCTGCTGAATGGGGGCGTCATAGGGACAAGAGGAGGAATGAAATTGTTGGGCTTGAAGCCGAGTAATGGGACTGGCCTGAAACCGTGTCTGGAGAAAGACTGTAGTATGGGGTTTTACAAGAGGTTGTAGTAACCTATCTTATAAATTTATGCATAAGTTGTGACAACAGTAGACACCACAACAGAGGCAAATATCAACAAAGATTACAGTAACTGGAATTATCACTAATTTTTTCCCCACCAGGTCATCCCTGAACCCCCAAACCAGGAAGCTCTGATGATGCCATCAGGTATTCAGGTATCTTTTGAGTGGCTTACAAAGCAATAGGCATACATAGCAAAAGATCATCATGGTGATCTTTCTTAAGTTTATATCAAGTTTTCTGGCTTTAGGAATAAGGGTGGTTTCAGTCCTCAATGATCCCAAATGAAAATAATGGAAAAAAACTGAAAATGTTGGTTTGGAGATTTGTAGCCAGATATTTCAGGAGACTAGAAGAATTCAGGATCTGGTCCAGTTTACAGGTAGAAAACAAAAACCTCAAAGACAATTAACAGAACTAGAATCTAATATCGACAAATGTGTTTTATAGTTTCTATTAAAACATAATTTTTCTCTCTAAAATCACCCTTATTTTTACCAAAGATTGTCAAATTAAGACTCACTGGTCCGCAAAATAAGTCTAGTTTTAATAAACTTGGCATAATTATTTACATAAGTACAGCAAGAATAGCAATTGATCGTATAGGCTCTTTTAAATCTACTTTGCTGGAACTTTTTAGAAGGAATCTCAGATTGAAATTTATAGGCCTCTCAAGACCAGGCCAAGCCAAGGACTTGTCATCAGACTCCACCTGCAATACCTACAGATTTGAGTGAATTCTTCTTAAGGTCCCCAAAATATCTTGGGGTTCTTTGCACCTGTCAGGGAAGTGATCTTTACTCACCTGGTAAGGTTGCTGGGAACCCTATAAGCAAGGTACTAGCCAATATTTCAAAGAGGCTTTATTTCACAAAGTCCAATATTTGTTCCTCAAAAGCTGTCTTGTCATATCTGAGTCTATGTATGTTTTTTACAAATGACATTCCAGTCAAAGCCTTGGTAATATAACCAATGTTTCCAATTGTGTCCTGCTGTAAGGAGATCAGATTCTTATTGAACTTATACAAATAACTACATTGCCATGAAAATAACATTCACTAGGAGTTTCCAAATTCTGGAGGCATCAGGTAAGGAGAAAAAGACGAATGTTTCAAATCTGCTTACAAAAGTATAATTTACTGAATTGTTATAAGTCATAGTTAGCTTAAGAGAAGAGAGAAAAAGGTTTCCTTAAATCTGAAAAAAACAAAACACTAAAAAGTTAGCAATATTTTAAATGAAAAGTCATAATTATAATCATCCTCATCAATTTATTCAGTCCCATGATATCAACTCTTGATTTTCTGTTAGGAGTTTCATGAGGCCATCAGTTTCTCCGTTACAGTTTTGTAACTTCTCACCCAGCTCAGTTTTATAATCTGAAAGTTTATCAGAAACCTGCATTCTAGAGCAAGAGTCAGAGTCCTTTTAGTGAATCTCTCTGAAGATGAAATACATCTGCAAAAACATCAGAGTAAAACAACAACTGTCTGTAAATAACACTCAAAAATGGTAACTGACAAAGAAACTTGGCTATTTCTCTGGACACACAACACTGAGATAATAACTAGAATTATGGCCGACAACCAGGACAAATTAGAATTTTAGGAATGTTATTGTAATTTTTAAAACACTTATATCTTGTCGCCAGCCCGGTGGTGTAGTGGTTAAGTTCACACGCTCTGCTTCGGTGGCCTGGGGTTTGCAGGTTCAGATCCCAGGCATGCACCTACACACCACTCATCGAGCCATGCTGTGGCAGGTGTCCCACATATAAAGTGAAGGAAGATGGGCACGGATGTTAGCTCAGGGCCAATCTTCCTCAGCAAAAAAGAGGAGGATTGGCAACAGATGTTAGCCCAGGGTTAATCTTCCTCACCAAAAAAAATAAATAAAATAAAAATAAACTATAAAAAAATAAAAAATTAATAAAACACTTATATCAATAACATTTACCCACATAATATCACAGGTCCCTATGAAACAATGCTTAGCTATCCATTTAACCATGGTCACAATTAAATATTTTCAGGCCAATGCAGAAAATTAAACAGCTGTAAGAAAAACCTTGGCCCCTATGATTAAAAGACCTGATAAAAACAATACAGGAAATTTATTATGATAAAACATAAAATCACTACCCTTCTGGTAGGATACTCAAAGAAAAAAAGTCTTTCATAATCTCTTTAGCAAGAGCAGACTAAAGTTCAAGAAAATTATTCTTTTAAGAAAGAAAACCAGGGGCCAGCCCCGTTGCTTAGTGGATAAGTGCGTGCGCTCCACTGCTGGTGGCCGGGGTTCGGATCCCAGGCGCGCACCGACACACTGCTTCTCGGGCCATGCTGAGGCCGCGTCCCACATACAGCAACTAGAAGGATGTGCAACTATGACGTACAACTATCTACTGGGGCTTTGGGGGAAAAATAAATAAATAAAAATTATAAAAAAAAAGAAAGAAAACCAAATTCTAATTTTCTATCAGCTTACTTTGACATTAAAACTCAGTTACTTAATTAGATTTACTTTAATCTTAGCCAACATGACCATACATAAAATTCTTTTTTCAGGGTTCCTCCTCCACAAACCTTCTATAACTTTTTTTTTTTTTTTTTACATTCAGAATTTGTCTCATGTCTTCTTTCTTTTCTCCTAGTACTTTAGGACAAATTTGCCTTTCTTAAAACAAAAATATTTTCATTCTTTATACCTTCTTTACTGAAAACATACACTTTACTTTCCTTTTATACAGACTTTTTAGAAATATGTGTTTTTTCACAGAAAAGTCCCTGCATGGTACAAAACATGTTTATTAATAAACCCAAGCATCCTTTAGTTTTTTTGAGATAAGAAACCAAAGGCAGACACATCTGTTTAACAAGCAATTTCTAATATTTTATCTTATGTGGAAAAGACCCAGATACTCAATAAATTTCAATCATTTAACCTAATTTAGCAAAACTCCAAAGTTTCAAGTTACCAAAAAGATTTTGGGAGCTGTTTTTCAAGCATATATACCATAAAACATAATTATCGTACCCAAAGACTCTTACCTATTTTCACTTATCTAAATCATTTGTTCCCAACAATTGTGTTTCAATTACTCTCAAAAACTTCATGTGACATTAAAGCAGTTCTGATTTTTCCAATTGCATATGCAAATACACCAGTTTGGGTAAACTGAAATTACCCCATTTTGGCCATTTTAAAGTGAGATCTCCTGTAGCACGTTTAATTAACATTGCCTGAAGGGTAGATTTATATGTTCTTACAATATCATGCAGGGGAAACGTTTCCCAGTGAGACTCAATGTTTACCCCCATAACATCATCTACAATACAACGAAGCAAAAGAGATGCAATCATTTTATATAAAGCCCATTTAAATGTACCAATTTTTACAAAATTTTATCTTAATTTTATCAATTTTTATATCTCTAATTAGAACTTCCACTAGGATTCCATCAACAAGTTTTGGTATTATAATACTGTGTAGGGGAAGCATTCCAAGCCAGACATATCATTCATTTCCAAAAAAACATTCAGGCAAAGTTGACATGACCTCTTTATATAATATTACCTTAAACACTTTAATCTTTGTAATCTTATTAATCTTAGTAGCCTGTTGCTGCAGACAATTGTTGGTCAGGTTTCTCATTGTGATTTCTGCCTTCTGGCTTTTTAAATTTTTTCAAACTGGGGTGAACAGAACAGGCCTGTCTGTGGTACTTTAATGTTGGGGGGCCAGTAGGTGCGTCCCTTTAGCCTGCCCAATCTTAGGCAGTGTTATATTAAAACCTTTGTTCTAACTTCATTCATATCTATTCTGTTTATCCCATGTTTCTTTTTAATAACTAGCTAAAGATTTCCATCCAGCTGGGATAAGTCTTGTGATTCTTCCCTTTCTGATTCCTCTTTGTTTTTCTCCCCTTTAATATTTGTTTTACCTTATTTAAAAGAAAAAAAAAACTCTTTAAAAATTTCCACCTTGTTGAGAAGAGTCCCTTTCCTTTTCTCTCAGGTTCTTCTTATTTTTTGTTAATGTTTTCATTAGCATCTGTAAAACCATGAAAGGAAGCCAAGAGCCCAAGTTTGATTAATTTCTTAAGACTAGTCATTGTATTTTCTTTTTAATTTGGTCTTTTCATAGGTACCAATAAAACAGCTGTTTATGATGAGAGCTCTCTAAAAAATTTTCCAACTTAAGGATCCATTGTTTGGCCATTTTCTCTCCAGAGTCTAAAGAATATTGTGGCCATGTAGTGTTACAAAAGAAAATCATCTTTTTCTTAGACATTGGCTTATAACTATAATCAGACCATCTATTCAGACCATCTATTCAGAATAAGCCACAATGGGCTCCCCTTGGGGACAGATGGTGCATTCCCCATTCCGATACACAGAGATGGACAGACACACAGACGCAAAGAAAAACCAGACAACAGCTAACCGGTTCCCAGATTCCAGCTACAAGCCCTACAACTATTCCTACTCGGTTGGGCACCCTATCACCCAGACAGTCCTTCCTCTCAGAGAGGGAGGACCCCAGATAGAGGGGGAAGGGAGTTTTTGGTTGTATACACCAAGGCAACTTACCTACTCCAGATTGAGCCTGTCAACTCACCAGAAGCAAAAACAAACAAATCTAGAGCCTGTTTCCTTGCCACAAGAAAAATGTGCCTAGGGCCAGTGGCACCAGATTAGACAGAAAATACCAGGGACAGTCCCTAGGGCAAATCACGCAGGCAGTTGATGGACTGCTTCCCAGGAAATCCCAGTCAGCTTGGGGCCACAGAGCCACAGGCAAGAAGCCTCCTGGCTGGCTCGCCAAATTATTACCAAACACAAACACAGGTTCCTTCACCTACCACACAAGAGAGGGCCAAAAAAAAACTGGAATGCCAGGCTTGTGGTAAGGAAATGGGTTTTATTTCAGGTGATGTCAGCCGGAAGACGAGAGTAAGCACTCAGATTTGTCTCCTCGAAAGATGGTAGGCAAGGAGTTATAAAGGTTGTGAGGAATGTGACTATGTGCAGGGAGACGGTTGGCAAGATAAGGGAATCTGCAGGTGAGTGTCCTTGGTTGTCTGCTTGCGTGATGGATGGTGGATTCCAGGACCAGGAAGCCGAGGAGTTGGGGTCTGGGAAACTTTAGTTTCTTGATATTCTTTGGACATCAGTTTCCCTGCAATAAACTTCAAGGACCTGTAATTAGCCAAGACTTCAGTGTGAAGTCACCTGGGTTTTAACAATTTGTAACTTCTACGTGTGTTGTGTGAGGTGGAGGTCAGTGCTCTAATCCCAACACTAGTTTCACGCATATGTGAGGCTCAGGGATACAAAGGTTAAAGAAACCAATATTTACATATAAATGTAACTAAAGAAGCAGGGAAAGGGGTTGGGGTGTTGTAAGAGGTTTGATGGATTCGATCGGAGAGGTAAAAAGGAACTTCCCAACCCAAACGAATGGACTGAGTGCACACTTTATTATATAGGGAAGGATAAAGGTGAAAGTCAGTGAATAGATATGGAGAATACAGGAAGTAGCTATATCCAAAGAAACATCAGACTGGGTACTTATCCAAATAAGTCAATAAAAAGAGGAAACAACATCAGATCAATTGAAAAAGAGAAACATCAGATCAATTGAAAGAGAAACATCAGACCACGTACTTACAACATCAACGCCCTTACACTGGGGAGAGTCCCTTTAACTGACACGGTTAGGCAGGAGTGCCAGTGGAAAGAGGTCCTGGGCAAGGCGTCCCCCCGACAGGCGAGACTCTTACCAGGCCCCAGTTTCCAGCAGTTTATATAGTATGAGTAATCTCCAGAGTAAACATTTGGTGTTCTCATGTACAAATGGTTATCAGTTGTGTATGTGCATTGAGCTCCTTGGTTATCGCTCTAGCCTGGCACGGATGGCCAGTCCGTCCCAGCTATGACACCCTGTAATCTTACAAATTACAACTATCTCTGTGGGAGAAGGGCCAGTTCCCACCACACAGAAAGACGCTTTATATTTCTTTGTGTGCTGGTGGCTGTAGGTTCATGGATCAGCCAAACATGGCTGTACTCATGTCAAGACAGGTCTTTTTGGTTTTAACCCCATATATGCTGGGGTTAATGTACAGTAACGGATATCAGGGCTGGTATCAAATGTGGTTTGCATCCACAAGATCCACAAAGCTATAGTGAACTGAGAAACAGTCTTAAAGGGCTCATGCACTTGAACTCACTCACCCTAGGGCCTAACACAGCCAACTGAATAGCACCCAGTCTTTCTGTCAAAGGAGCTTATTTGCTTGTCTTAAAGTTTCAGCCCACAGGTATCTGATTTAACAAACATCTAGGGGCCTACTAAAATACTCTGGAAAGACAGAGGCCAGTGGTCACCATCTTTGCGCCCTCTTGCCTCGCTCCAGCTCAACAGTATCTCCTGAAAAGGAGCTTGTGAACTCACCTGGTGCCCTGAGTTTTGTGGCTGTTGCCCAAAGGACACTTCTCGATCAACTGGTTCTGGTGACCAATGGGGCTTATGCTCATAGGTCCCACAGCCTGTAACAAATGGGAAAAGAGTTCTTAACCAGCTACCACTCCCAGGGCACAGCAGAGAGGCAAGAGACTGAGGTGCTCAATATTCTGTGAAAGAGGCCTCCTAGCTTATCTTCATTGCTGTGGCCTAAGGGGCAGACTTCTAATTAAACACACATCTAAGGTCTGACTGTAAACCTCTCCAGAGACCTCAGAAGGTGGGCACTATCTCTGCGTTCTCTCTGTCATGCTCCACGTCACCAGTATATCCCAGAAGGGAGCTTCTACGCACAGCCAGTGCCCCAGTTTTTGCATCTAGCACCCCAGTTTTGTTTTGTTTTGTTTGTGAGGAAGATCAGCCCTGAGCTAACATCCATGCCAATCCTTTTTTTTTTTTTTTTTCCCTTTTTCTCCCCAAAGCCCCAGTA